CTTGAATGAGATTCTGTAGAACCTATCGAAGGTTCTATTCAACAACCTCATTAGAAATCCACGTCGAACGATACTGTCCGTATATCGGGCGCAGAATTACTGACCGTACCATCATTAATATACAGCCGTATATGACCCTATTTTAATGATGGTACAATTCGTATTTCTGCGTCCAATATACGGACCGTATTGTTCGACGTGAGAAGAGACCAAGAGATAAACTAAAATAAAGAAAAATAAAATGTTTATTTTGTTTATAATATATTATTTATCATCATTCTTATTCACATGAGTTGAACCTAAATAAAATAAATAAAGTATTGATTTTATTTATCGTACATTGCTTACCATTATTACTTGCATGAGATAGACCTAAATAAATTAACTAAAGTGTTTATTTAGTCTTTGTGTTGTACAACTAATCATTAATATCTTATCGATATGAGGCCTAACTCTAGTATAGCATCGAATTGTCAGTATAATTTCTCATGTGTTTGTTATTTGAGAAGACTGGCTTTTTATTAGAAGAAATGATCAATATAAGAGGAAAAAACCATTTAAGAATAAAAAATGTTTATCAATAAAAAACGGTTATGATTTTATGCGCGATTGTTTCCAAAACACTAGTATGAATAAATTCCCTTGATCAATCGAAAAAGAAAAAGGACGCGGAAGAGAAAGAAATTCGTGGGTTTTTTAGTGAAAAAATACTGTAGAAAGACATCTTTTCACTGGAACAATAGATAGATAGAGAGAGAGATTTGAAAAAGTTGTGTTTGTTTTGCTTGTTGCTTTTTTAATATTTTTCATGGTTTACGAAGGGACGACCGGTGGTCTTTCAGGTGGTGGAGTATTTTCGTAATATGCTTGTTCAAGATCACATAGTTGATCTGATTTTCTTTTACGATTAACTTGTTTAGTAAGATGCTGTACAAGTGACAAGAATCTTTTCACTCCCTCTTTGCTTAAGTCGAATTTTTTCACGAAATTTCAAAACTTACTATTCTCCGGATTTTGACAATTAATCATTCTGGATAACTCTCAATAAGAGAAACTATTGCCATTCTCATACTATCCGACTCTTCACAATGAGATTGACTATTAAATTTGATTGCCCTTTTACTGCAACTTCATAAAAAAACAAGGCAAAACGAAAGGAAAATACATAGACTATAATTTTTATTCGTTTTTATGAAAATTGACAGGAGCATATTTCCAGCTGTCTATTTATGATTTCCGCCAATTTGGCAATGTCAAAATGATGTTAAATTATTTCGAGAGTATGAAACAGTTTTAAATTTCAAGATATATTTATATGAACAATGAATTATTGATAATTGAATACTTTATATAAAATGTATCAATGTTTTTCATTCTCTGGAAACTTCCGAAAATTCAGAAAAAATAAAGGTCAAAAAAGTATATTCTAATATCGAATATGCTTTTACGAAGAGTTTTTGGATACTCAGATCTTTTTGTGAAAACCGTTTCGAAGGTTTTCATAACATCGCAAATCAATTTAGGTTTCCCACAATACCTTTTTGAGATTCAGCAAGTTCGGTAACCTAAAGAGTTTCCGGGAAGCACCTCGAAAACCAAAAAGCTATTTTTGGATACGGCTTCTGGTTCCAAATCAACTTTCTCGATTGTATGGGTTTTCTGAGCTACCTTTACGGTTCCCGAAAATACTAATAGCTTTTCAACATTAAAATAAGAGTATCCGAGAATACTTTTATAGTGCTGCAATAAGTATTTTCGAAAACCTAATGATTTTCGAAGGTTCGAAAACCAAAAAGGTACCTTCGAAAATGCTTGTTGGGTCCGGAAACCTCGAAGAGTTTTGGGAAGGGTTACCGAATGCGTTTGAGTTTTGTAGGATACGAATTTTTTTAGAGAGTAAAGTGAAAATCGATGTCCTTTTTTAAGTCACGTCGCTAACAAAAGATTTTACCCATATCTAAACAGTTCAGTCTGTTCGAAAACGAAGCGTCAAGTGAGTTCACGTTCTTTGAGAATGAAAATTCAAGGAACGGTAACTCTGATCTTCCTAACTAGAGGATATCAATTGGAAAAGCTCAATTTCATCGTTCAGTCAGGTGTTGAGAGAATCACAAAAGTCCAAACTCATTATACTGGGTTTGGATCATTTTTAGCTATCTTCTAATATTGCGCATTACTGTATAACGCTTTAGATCATTCTCCAATCCTTCATCGATATATTTACAGCACACACTCCAGGTTGTATATAAGTTATTTGTTTTTGCATCTTTTAGATGAAAAAATTGTTTAGATTTTTCAGTCAAATTCTATTGCTACTCGTTTTTATTTCATCAATAAAAACCACACATGCAGTGGTTAACTACAAGTTAACATCAGTTATGATGGACTCTACAGGCAAAATATCATTGTGGGTTGGTAAACGTCAAGCAAGCATTGACATCTACGTTGATTGGTGTAATAATTCATTGGGCCCGTTCTTTGATCTTGACATGGACAATGTATGGAATCGTAGTATGGTCCCATTAATAACATGGGAAATAACTGATTGTAATCATACTGCTGAAGACGATCCAGGAATAACGAAGAGAATTAATAACAATACTTATGATCCATATATTAATCAATTTGGTGATCGTCTGAAAAAATGGTTGGCTGGTCCTGATGGCATATATGGAACTAACGACGATAGACGTGCATTTGTGCGACTAGGTATGAAATTTAATGAAATAGCATAGTCTGACAGAAAAACATATTCTTTATTTGTCATGAGAAAGCAGTATTTACATTCCTACTAGGCATGCACCAAACCCGAACTGGCTCAGCATTCGATATCAAACAGCCCACGTTTAGTTTCGAGTTCGGTGCATGCCTGATTCCTGGTAAACGCCAACAGAAGCCTGAGCCGTTTTATGAAATATGCTGTATTTGTCGGACATTTCTTTCCAATTATAAGTATTGAGTATTCGCTACGAGAATCATGACATAATGATAATCCAAAATGTGTCACTTCAGTGTTTCATAAAAAAAATAGATGTTTTTTCTCTCACTTTCACTCTCATTATCGACAGCATTCATTTTGTCTGTTTTAAGTAGTAGTGAAGGATGTGCAACTTGATAATATTTGAATTCTCTGCGCACCAGTCGTATAAATTTTTGCTATCAGTCTTTTCAGCATCCTTCTCGGCAGACATTTGTCTTTTTCACACTGCATCGAAAGGCGTTCTTCCTATGTTTCTCCTATTACTGTAAGTGATAATATAGCTTGTCTTTTCCGGGTGGGAACAAAAGAACTGAGTTCGACTATTCATTGAATAGTCGATTCTTCTTAATGAGACATAATAATAGATTGAAAAGAATGAAAATGAGAAAATTCATTTTTCTGTAGCGTCGCATACTTGACATTAAACATATTCTTTTCAACTTTATTACGACCCACCTCTCTAAATCAATGTCATCAGCACAAAAATCTCGCATTTCATATTTAAAAAAAAAGAAAATGTAAAAGAGTCTGATAATAATTCAACAAAAAAGTAAAATAAATGATAATTCAAACAATATTGTACATGATAATACAACCAATATGCATGGCATATGTCGTGTTTACTGGAAACCAACAATACCATCCTATTCTAAGATGAATACAAGAACTAGAGGTGTTTTTACTATACAACCGTTTGTCAATGAGAAATATGCATCTGATCAAAGTGAAAGTTTAGAAAAACACCAAGAATCTACTTATCATAAAATAGCTGTACAAAATTTATTATTGAGGCAGCAAGAAGATCAGTAGCACAGTAATTATTTAATGTTTGTGAATTGAAACGTCAAGAAAATCGTGAAGTATAGTGAAGTAATAGATAAACAAGTCTTAACCCTCAGTTACCGTCCTCATTTTATAACTTCAACAGTGTCCTGGGGTCCGCGTGGACCCATCCCATAAAATTACAAAAAAATGATGGGTTTGCTTTACGTAAGGTATTTATTTATATACTATAAATTTCCAAGTGCTCTTCTCCCTAGAGACTTATTTATCGCTTCTTATAGAGACAATATAAGAACGCACGATGCGAAGAAAAGGATTCACTTATACTAGTTTCATAACAGAATGGAAGTGCAAGTAAAAAAGTCATACATCCAGTACATTCTGTCTGCGGTACGAATACCCTATGTTAGCACATACAGTTGTCTATGAATAAGAAAACGAGATGTTAATTGTTATGATGTTTATTTGTATCTTCTTCTTTTGTATATGATCAACAAAGTTTAAAACAGAAATGTCTCTACTATGTGGATCAAGTTGTCATTATTTGATAGTTTTCGAGAAATTTTTAGTTCTTCTTTTCACATGTTCGACAAGTTACTACTGTGATGCTGCTGGAATACGAAAGACAAACATTTTGTCCACAATTGCCACAGATTTGTCGAACTTTTCGTCCAGGTTTTGCAGGATACAAGTAACATCTTCGTTTTATTCGATTTGTATGAGTATTCACAATAAGATCTTTTATGATTCCCGAAGGAACTTGATGTCCAAGAGATAGAAGAGCCAGTTTGACCTTCTGCATCAGTCGAGATTCGTGACTACGACATTGATTTTGTGGAACAGTCAAAGCTGTACTCAATTGAGATAAAAATATACGTCGAGTATTAGATTTTCTTTGATTCCATTCTAGATATTGAGATAATCATAGGGTCATACTATTGATTGCAGCTATGTCAATCATGTTGTAACAGACAGTTAGTGGCTGTCGTCGGCTAATTCTTCGAACAGTATACGTTCCAACACATTGATCAATAATGTCCACACCGTATTTCGACTGATTGTAATCGTGAATAAGGCATGGTAATTCTTTGTCATCAGCGAAAGTTTCAGCACATTTATGAAGTGAAGATAAAAGTACTATAGGCTTTTTTTTTCTTTTGCTTCATATGAAACAAGCATGTGTGAATTTGAAAAATAAAACCATGATGAAAATAGTTTTCTTCGACAAACTTTAAGTTCATTCGGCAAAAAAAACACGTCGATAATCAACTACACCAATAGAAGTCATCTTCCGGTTCAGCAAAGCTTCAGATAATTTGACATCCGTAAAATAACGATCAAATGTAATGGTACGGCCTTGTTTCACATCGTTTGGTAATTGATCAACTAAATGAAGAACAACATTACTCACTAGATTTTTTTGGATTATATTATCTTTTTTTCCAGTATATAGATCAATTGATAATACATATCGACTATCCGCATCACATAATAACCAAAACATTAACCCATATTTAGCCGGCTTATTTGGCATATATTGCATGAAACAACAGCAACCTCGAAAAGGAACTAGCTGTTCATCAACTGTTAAATTTTCACCGGGTACAAAATGTCGAGGAAGTTGTTTGATAAACAATTCAAATATATATCTGATGGGTGATAAACGATCGGTCTTATCATAATTTTGTCGATCGTCAAATCGAAGAAATTGAAGAAATTGCCTAAAACGTTGAAGAGACATTGTAGCTCGATACAATGGAGAGCTCTGACTAATGTCCCATAAATCACTGAGAGATTCATGATTATTTCTATGTAAACCAGCTCGAACTACTAATCCAATAAATGATTCTAATTCAATACGATCAATCAGTTTCCATTTACTCGACTTGCTTTTTATTGCATTAGAATCTGTTTTTGATCTTTTATTTTAATCAAAATACTGTTCTGCGTAACGATTTGTTTGAATAACAACTTCGTCCAGAATTTCATGTGTCAAGAAAAGTTTAAATGCATCCAAAATCGTTTGAACCTTGGTAATTGGTCCTGGTTTTGTTTTAATAATATTAGCAACCGGTATTCGTCCTTGTGCCGGATTAGCATGAATTGACCATATAATACCTGCTTTTTCTAATGTTTCTGGTTGATCATCTGTGTAAGCATCACATTGATCATCATCATCCGAATTTGATATATCAGATTCTTCTGATATATGTTCATTTGTAGATGTATGATCTGATTCAATAGACACAGAATCAGAATCATTATCTGAATCAGAATCTTCACCAGTAACGTAATCATCTTCAATTGTATCGGATAGTAAGAGATCTCTAATTCGTTTTAGGTTTGATCTGTACGTATTATTCATACTATAAAAAGAGAGAAGTGTACAAATGTACATTTGTAGATTTATTGCATCTTTAGAGTATTTCGAGAAGCTTACCTGATTTAATCGAACCACTGGAAATAAATTAACATAGAGTTCTGCTTTTTATCAAAAAATAGTGAAAATTTAACAATCTACAAAGAAAATAGGAGTCACTATTATGAGAGATAAACGTGCAAACAAATCACAACGTATTTAATTTGAAAATAAATCGATACGCAATAGATGGCAGTTATAAAAAAGCGAAAAATCATATCTAAACTATTATTGGTGTCCTGGGGTCCACGTGGACCCATATCCATATTTTTTCTCTCTTAGATCTATTCATGATTTTTTTATCAGGATATTGTACATCTACCAAAGCCTAGAGATTACAAAAAACAAATGACTCGAAACAGTAAATAGTTGTGTAGTGCGAGATGAAAACCTGTAAAGTGGGTCCAAGCGGACCGCACAACAGTAACCGAGGGTTAACAAAAATTCGTAAATCAAGAATTATTTCAATTACGGTTGATAAAGGCACAGATATAAACTATCATCAAAACTTATCAATTTGTATACGTTATTGTAATCAAGATACAGGCCAGTGTATTCTTGCTTTGCATTGACCTTGCCTGAGACCAATACGAGATGCATGATGCTTTTTTAGAAAAATCTGCTTACGTGTAATATTTGCACTTTCTAAGTGAGCCAATACAATCATATATTATTTTATTAAAAATAAAAGATAAAGATGCACAAACAATATTTGACATGATTGTTAAAGAATTACAATCTCATGTGAAGATATGCATGAAGTACAAGAAAGTTTATTAACATTGAAATCATTATTCACTTTTATTAATCGATCATCAATTAGATTAGCACATTGTAATGATATTCAACCATTATTAAAACATGCACAAGTAACGTTAATTCAACCTAGTGATACACGATGGTTATCATATTCTCATGCTATTAATGCTGTTATTCGTTGTTATGAATGATTAATGATACCATTTCAATTTTACAAGATCAATCAACAATATGAACAAATGAAGTTAGTTTAGGATAATAACTATTTTTTGATGATAAAATAGTCAAATTTATTGATAAAATTTTATCAAATATAACAGCTTGATTTGAATCAAATGTATTTAATACAATCAAACAACAATACCCTTATGATTTTAATAATGACTTATTCGCCGAATGGAAAGTATTTCGCAAATATTTATTTACACAAAAATAACAACAAACATCTACAATTTTAACACAACGACAACAATGTATTAATTTAGTTAATAATGGAATGATAAGAGACATGTATCCACAATTATCATTAGCTACTGAAATATTTTTATGTGCACCAATTAGTACAGCAACAGTAGAACGTGATTTTAGTACAATGATCTAAAAGATTTAATTATTGATTGTTAGAACAGAAGAAAAAGTGTAATGATGTTGTAAAAAAAATGAATAAAAGTCTGTGTGCCTTTGCTATATAGAAAAAAAATGTAGCTAGCAGCCCTCCAAAAATTTCAACTGCCCACCCAAAAAATTAAACCTAGACAAAACACTATACTAGAACGGATCTAAGATTTTATGATAGGGTATAATTTTGATCATAAAATATGTTTCGAACTTCCTTCGAGGTGGTATTTCATCACTGGATTTCGTGAGAAAGTTTTCTCAAAAAAACTACCAGTGTAAGCAATAAGGTTGTTTCTATTTTTAGGTCATGAAATGAATGGAAATTGGTATTCGTGGTCAATAGGTTCAACTCCAAACGATTATGTTTTGGCATGGCGTCATACTTATAATATATTATTAAACAAAGGTATAGATGCAACAAGATTTCAATGGGTTTGGAGTGTAAATCGTAAAGACTATGGTCAATATACTGCAGAAGAATATTGGGTTGGAGAAAATTATACACATTGGCTAGGAATTAATGGATTTAATGGAGGTTCAAGTGCAAATTGGAGTAAATGGGAATGGCCAAATGAAATTCTTGATAATATGATGGGTCGGTTACACAAGTTATCATCAACAAAACCGATGTCTCTGAATGCATATGCAACAGTTGGCGTACGAACAGGAAATACTACAGATGTGCAGTCAAAAAATGAATGGCTGCGCCAAATGTGTGATTATATAAATAACAATAACATTAAAATGGCATCTTATAATAATGTTGATGGGCCTAACGAAGATAATATGGTATTTGGTGGTACACACGGTGATGTAATTTGGAATAATTTTAAGGCATATTCAGCCTATAGAAATTGTTTACAGTCTAATGATTGGATAGAACCAAACATTACTAATCCAAGACTTATTACTGACGAACAATTTGCTGGTAGATTCTCAACTGGAAAATACATTTTAAAGAATCAAGATACTCTAAAAATATTCATGATTTCGTCATTGATTTTTGTCTTTTTGAGAATGTGATTATTCAATAAAATTTAATATTCGACTGTGGTTTTTTTTAAACTAGAAAATCATGATCTGATTCATATGAGATTGTGAGTAAGACTCGCTGAAAATGTTCAAGGAGAGGTATGTTCATATTCTAATTTTTACATCTGTTTATCTCACAGATGAATTATGTTGTCATATCTCTATGATCAACTAACTATTCTCTTTTCTCTAGTTGCTCTTACCATTCTCTCGTCGATCAGTTATTATCAACAAAGAAAAATTCGAAGAATGATCCAATAGTCGATACTTGGACGTGATTGAGGAGATTAAAAAGCGGACAACTTGTTCTTGTTGCAGTGTTTTGTTTTGATAAAGTTTTATCTTGTTGTTTCTCGTTTGAATTGTTTATATTTGATGATAACCAAGTTGAGCATGCACATACGAAATGTTTATTAAATTTATAAGTAACTACGATGTAGTTCAGGTGAAGACAAGAGATCATCATAGCTATACATAACCGACCGATCGGTTTAGGATAAATAGGAGTCATTCATTTCGTCTTGTTCTTGTCTACTGATCCTTTCTGTTCATTGTTTCGTATTGAACGGAACATATCCTACATGAAAATTTCCTTTATTTCAGTATTTTGAAATTCAGCTAACTAGTTTCAGTCGAGATTTTGAGAAAAAAAAAGCAAACGAAACTAGTCATGGTAGTTCATTTTTATATATTACATCTATGCTTATAAGATACTAAAGGCTAAATATTTCTCCCATGTTTAGAAATATATAGATGTGATTGATGCAGATATATGCCATCTGATGAGACCCTTAAGCAAGGTCGAAACTGGCGAAGACTCCATTTTAATCTCCATGTTCCCTCGACTGAAGGGAGGGTGATACGAAAAAAATGAAAATGCGTTTGTATGTATGTATGTATATTTGTCGCAGGACAAGGTTCAAAGGTTAGAGGTCAAAGGTCATTTTACGCATCATTGAGTCCAACGATTGCTCGACCCAAGTGTATCACTCATCTCTCGCCCCATTAAAATCTTTCACCTTAGATTTCCCGCCAATCAGGTGTTTTGACTAGTGTCCTGCGTGATCGTTAATTTCACAATCACGACCAAAATCACGCGTGATCGTGCGTGATTAGAAACGTTTTTGATTACCGTGGTCGTGATCGTGATTGAAACTTAAAATTTCCTAATCACGATTGTAATATATATGTTCAAAATCTCAAATATTTATTCAAGAACATAATGTTCACATTTACTTTCAACAAGAAAGCAAAACAAAATACATAGATGGTTAATTACTATTTTATAAAAAACAAAACTGAGAAAAAAGTAAGGAAATTACATAATTCAATAGTCTGTTCATCATCATCTTCACCTTCAATTGTTAATAAATATTCATTATCATTTTGATTGTTGTTGACGAGATCGTGTGGTTTTTTGATTTTTTCTGTGTTGATTGATTATTTGAGGTGATACAATTATATTTTCGTTTGGCATCTTGATCAGTATTTGTTTCCATACAATTGATACGATATTTTTCCATCAAAACGTCCATGTTCTTTTGTAAAAACATTAATTTGTTCAATTTTTCTGCACCTAATCTTGTTCGTTTGTCAGTAATAGTGTTTTTACAAGATGAAAACAACCTTTCAACGGACGTATTTGAAGCTGGTATGGCTAATACAGTACGAGCAACTGAAGCAATTAAAGGAAATACATCTTGATGTTGTCTCCAGTACAGTGTTTCTAATGGAATTCTAAAACAAAATGTACAGTACACGCTGTTTTGGATAAGCAAAGTGTACAGCAAAATGTACACAGACATTTACATCACCGAAGTGAAGCGAAAGAGCAAAAAAAAAAAAAAAACGAAAAACTTCTAGTATGAACAAAGACATTATATAAAATTTTCCAGAATAATGTACACGCTGCTTTTTTAAGTAAAGTGTACAGCAGCGTGTATTTTCATAGCTGCAGATGTTTGTACATTTTGCTTCCGCTGTGTACACTTGCCATTAGAAACTCTGCTCCAGTATAAAAGTATATCATCTTCTTCTTTATCGTCGAGCTTTGATGTGAATGTAAGATATTTTTCTAATTCTTTTTCAACAGTATTTTTTTCTGGTACTTCAGATTGTTTGTCAAATATTTCTAATAATAAACTTTTTCGAGCAGATAGAGAATTAGTAATCGAAATTGATGATGTTGATGAACGTGATGTTACAGATGTTGATGTTAATATTACTGATTAATTTGTAGTAACTGATGGACAAGCAGATGGAATATCTTGATGTTTTAACATTTCTTGTTTTAATAAAAAGATTGCACGTTCTTTTAAATGAGGACATTTATGAAAATGTTTTAAATTTGGATGAATTAATGTGGCAATGAGATATTCGTTCGACAACTTCCATTTTTCACTCAATCGTTTACGTAGAAATTGATAAAGTATTAACAAATTTATATTTATTACTTTTCAAACTTCATACCCAAAAATGCCTTCAATTGTTTTATACCTTCTTTGTCATCATTATCAATAACACATTTGTTGATTAAGACTTGTTTCATTGGTAATACACGATGAAGTGTTGCTCGTTTGCTGTCGCTTAAAGTTTGAAAAGCAGTATCAAATGGCAATAAAAATTCACATACATCATGTAAAAAATCTTCATTGATTTTACAATAAGTTGTTAATAATTTTGAATCCAGAATCTTATCTAATTCATTATAAACATCTTGAAATACCCTTAGCATACCATATGCGCCACTAAAGCGCGTATCTGCATATAAAACTAGTTTTTTTCGATAAATTTTGTTGTTTATGCATTCGACGAACACTTGAAACAATATGTTTAACATCACTAAACATTCCTTGAGCTAATTCACAATTAACAACTTCCCCATCGATCATTTGTGATGTAAACGCATGTTGAAGTTGTTTGTTGATAAAATGATTGCTACAACCGATACGTTTAAAATTGAGATTAAAAGCACTCTTCATAGTGGGTTCATTATCACTCATGATAAACTTTTCATCATTTAATCTCAAGCCAAAACTATTTCATAGTATCATTAAAAAATGATCGAATAGTTTGTGCTTGTTTATTTTCCAATTCATACGGAAAACAACCAAGTAAGAATGATAGTGAATGAAATTTTTGATGAATATGATTAAGTGATAAGCCACAATATGATAAACCTTCATAAAAAACAGAACAAAGAAAGGTTTTTTGTGACGAAGATGCTTGCCTTACCGGTATACGATTCCGACCAAAACTTAAACTGTTACACAAAAGCTATTCATCGACCGGGACAACTTGATTACTTTTTCTTTATAATAATCATACATTCGATCAATATTTCTGCTAATCTAATACAAAAGAATTTCTTTAATGTTTATCTCATTCTATGCAATAGAAATTACTTACTGTTGTTGAATCAGGTAATAAATCTTCAATTTCTATACGTGTTACTGATGATAAACATCTACCAGTATCAAATAGCTGTTTGGCTAAACGAATAAAACCAGATCCTTTTAATAATTCAAATGGTCGGCCATCTTGAGCTATAAATTCCACACAAGAGGATGTAATAGCATCTTTTACTCGTTGTGATATCTTTTTTTATTGTTTGGTGCTGATTTATAATAGTGATAGATCTTTTGTTGTTGATCCTATAAATCAGATTCTGTTTTTGCTGATTGGGTGTGGGTGTCGGTGTCGGTGTGGGGTATGGGTGTAGGTGCGGGTGTGGGTGTGGATATGGATGTGGGTGTGGGTGTGGGTGTGTTAAGTGTGAGTGTGGGTATGGATGTGGGCCTGTGGGCGCGGGTGTGGGTGTGTGGGGTGTGTGCGTTAGGTGTGGGAGTGGGTGTGTGGGTTGTGGGGCGTGGGATGTGGGGTGTGTATTAGGTGTGAATGAGTGCGGGTATAGGTTTGGGCATGTTTGTGTGGGTTTGAATGAAAAGGAGACTCACACCCATACCCACACCCACACCTCCATCCATCCATACCCACACCTCCACCCATCCACATCCACACCCACACCCTCATTGACTTTTTTTCCTTCCTAATTCCAAGACGCTGATTACGATTATATGCTATTTTTATTCGCTAAAAACTCATTCTTTTCATTTTACTGATGTAATAATGGTGGTGATCAATAAAAAAAAACAAAACATTATGTAGATAAATATTTCAATGAATGTTTTTATTGATTTTGATTTTTTATAGAATACCCATGAGAGAGACAACTTTATTTTTGGCCAAAAACAAAATGTGAACGTAAAGCGATATCTGATATATTTTTAAACAATCTCAATATTATTCAAATACTTGAACTTCAACTAATTCTCTTTTATTATTATGTTAATTATTTATACAGATTACTATTCTAACAGTTTGATTTAAAATATTGATTTTAATATGCTTATTATGATTTTTTTTATGAACAATATAAATATTATCATATCAATAGTGTGATCGAAAGTTTTTTTTTTCATCAATAGATATATCAGTAGAACCTGAATGGTCCTTTCAATGTACATGTATGTAGGAAGAGAAAAATCGAAAGAAAAAAGAAATAAAACAGTAGAATCATAGAGAGAGAAATATATATAACTATAATTTTTTCTATGATGTGATTTTTTTTATCAATTCCGTACGAGACCGAAATTTTTGAGATGCATGTGTAATATGCTCGTGTATATCAATATCAGTGAATATTTTTTCATCATAAGAAAATGAAACGCAAAAGAACGGCAAAAAAAATGACGAAAACTATTGAAAGAATGAAATACATGTGGTGAAAAGCACATTCATGACGAATAATTGCTTACCTGACGCAAATGTCATGCTTCATTGAATTACGTATACTTATGAAAATGGGGAAAAACTGACTAATTTTGTTAATGATAAATACCATGCAACATTAGGTTATATCACATCAAACAAAATTTGCATACGCCCATATAACTAATGACGTGAGAATATGTAATTTCTTACATTATTAGACTAGAGATAAAATAAAAATTGAATGTCAAGAGTAGTTACACATAGCACAAAACAACGAAACATGAAAATAAAACATTTCAATCATCAAAAAGTGATGTCAAGAAAGTTTCGATTGACGGTGTAAGTGCGAGTGTCTATACTCACAGAATTTGAGAAGTCTCACAATTTTTTAAATACAGCATAGAGAAAAATTTCTCCAAAAGACAGTCTATTCGTTCTTCTGTATAAGTATTGATCAATGAGTGTAGCTATCAGATGCTTTTGATTGATTAAATAGTTTAGCTGGTTTGAGTTTATTCATAACTTATCACGCCATTCTGACTTCTTCAGTTTTTGTATAGGAGACGCTTTTATGGATCATATACTATTATTTTTATAGATCTAATATTTTGGAAAAGACGATTTTGGTATTTCATTCTTGCATCTCAGATTTGTATTATTTTCACACTCAGCTATGCAGTGCAGCAATCTTTAATGATTGTCATGTAGTTAATGCAACAGCAAAAATACTGATCGTAGTATTTTCAATTGTAACTCTTTCAACTTTCTTTTTATTTAAGCTAGTCTAGTTTCCGATTGAACTTCCATACAGCTCTACTGCAAACGTGTATCAAAAACTGATTTGAACGAATCTATAGAGAACTATTCAGTTAAAATATTCACAAAAAAACAGGTAACTTTCCAAGTCGTTTTCAAATAAATGTCAGAAGATGTTTTACATTATGAGATAGTGAGTATTTTCACAGTAGTTCTTTTTCATCATGCAAATAAAAGTTCGATCATATCAAAGTTTAGATTGAAAAGCTACTCTTAGATAATTTCATGAAAAGTGGCTAGAACCGCCATTTTCTTGGCTGAAGTCGATTACTATTTGGAACCTTTTTATCCATTACCTACCCCTATCTATTGATGAAATCATTAGTAGAATTATCATTGAAAAGAATCAAAATGCTTGATTCAAAATTTATTCGGATAGATTTTGAATGGCCAAAATTGATGAGTCTAAACCATTATTCTTCCCACACTTTACTCTTGTCATAGATATGCTTTTACAATTCTAACCGTACTACCACTCGTCCCATATTTCATTGTCTTTCAACTAAGAACTGAGCAAATCAACTATAAAGAAATATTACAGGTTACTACTACTTAGTAAGTATGCAATGGTCGTACTCTTTTTATCTAATTATCTTAATATCTTTCAGCTACTAAAAATAAAATTATATTTTCGAAAATCTAAGAGTTCTGCACACCAGAGCAAAGCATGAATAACATCCATCACACGATTATCGGAGTTTTCATACTATTCCATATCTATGGTCTGAATTGTACTTTTATTCCTGATCGAAATGATTACAATGCCTACGGCATAAAAATAGCTATGAATGAAATTCTTCTTGTACAAGCTCGCAATGCTGACAATCCACCGGCATTTTTTATTCAATTTGCACCTTATAATACTACACAAAATTCATCCCAATGTTTCATCGATTATCCTGATATTTTAAACACTTATGTTTATTGCGTTGCTCTTGGCAAGAAACAAAATTTAAATCATACACAATTTTTCTTTGCTGGCGAACTAATCAACAATCGTAATGGTGTATTTTTTGGCGTAGCAGAGTACAATCAGACAAATATCGTGTCGAATGTGTCCAATTCTTGTGCTTTGAATCTTTCTTATTCTCTATACTATCTAATCAATTATGCACATCAAGAACATTATGTCCTTGGTGTTGAACCACAAAATCGTTTTGCTTATGGATTTTCAAATCAGTTTGTCTTTATATTTGATTCGATGAATGGCTCAACTTTGGAATCATGGAATGGTAACTTAACATGGCCGAATAGCTCTTTTATGCCTCATGCTGTTGATATTAGTGACAGTTTCGGCATTATTGCAGGCTTTATTCAAAATGATCCACAAGGAAGAGTCAAATATAGTCCGATCATTTATTTGCTTAATTTTAATTCGTCTAATCATCATCCAATTGTTGTTGATCAATATATACCAAAAGCTAATCAAGGTACATGGCAAGATTTATTGACTTATTCGGATGCGAATATCTATTCAGCAAAGTATGATATGTCAATTAGTATTAATAGTCGTGGTGATATTTTAGTTGGCATGCAATTTATTAATCGAGTTTTCTTATTTTCAGTAAATATTTCCAATCCAATGCAATTGATTTATATAAGTAGGAATACTAATGGTCGATCGTTAGGTAATGGAAAAAGTCTAGCTTGGTTAGATAATGGAAATATGGCCGCTATACTTGTGAATACCTATTCACTCAATTATCAGTGGTCGTCATCTGAAGTCTATTTGTATGACATGAAATCGAATATTTATAATTCTAACAGTACTTCCATATCAGTTTTCCCTAGCTATCATCAACTGTTGCCGTCAAGTTTCAGTTCTGTATTTTTAAATATCATTTCATCACCTATATCACTAACTTTAATGGATGATATAGGTAATTTGTTGATATTTACTCCCACACCATCAGGTTTCTATCCTTCAATACCAGCAACAGGATCGATGCCACTCATTACATCCCCAGAGCCTTGTCCGCCTGGTATGTACAAGGATCATGTAGGGATTAATGATTGTATCCTCTGTCCAACTGGCACAAAAAATTCGGGTAATGCCACTACTCAATGTACTCCATGTGCACCAGATACGTTTTGTCCACTTGGTTCAGTGAGTGAAACACCTCAATCTGCATTGGAAAACATCATACAATTAATTGCCTACCCAACATCACCTGAATATACGATATTTGATGAGGTTTTATTACAAAATATGTTTCATATCGGAACTGGTCGTTGCCTTTTGGTATCGCCTTTATTTTGGACATTGATCGTAGGTGGTTTAGCTATTCTGATTGTGATAGTAATCAAGTTACTGAAATATTTTGTCGATCATACGACATATGTGCCGATAAAAAAACGAATTCATTACATATTTAAAAAAACAGATTTGATTGGTGAAGGTGAACTATGGGTAGGTGGTTTAGCATCATTTGCTGTGGTTGTTCTTGTTAGCTTCGCCTATGGATTTAGCAATTCCTATTACAAACAATATCCTATTGAAACATCAACCGATTCCTATTTCGCCTGCGACCTGTCGACTCGCAATGCTAAATTCCAAAGCAGTCTTCAAACATTAGGTATACCACCAACGACAGCTGAGAAAAAGATGTTCGATTTGTTAAATGAACAAAGTTTTTCGCTAAATATCGAGTTCATTAATACACTGATTAATTGTGATGCCATATCTATTCAAGCTCTATATGGAACAACTTGGTTGACGATTCGTTGGTCTAATTGTCAAAATAACAGTTCGATCCTATATCTATCCATTCCGCTTCCATTTCAACACACATCTGTACAAGTTACCCTAGATCAAATTCAAACGATTGGAGCTTTACGCATCGGTCTAAGTGGTGATAAACAAGAAGAAGAATTATATAAATTGAAAGAATTAAATTTTTACGAATCTTTTTCACAAAATGGATCTGTTCTAGCACAGGCATTACCGATTTCTCTCGTGCTAACAAAAGTGATCAATGAAACAATGCCGATCGAAGGCGAAGAATCCAATTTTACTGGCATCTATATTCCAACATTTGCTGTTGATTCAAAGAGTTTATTTCTTACACAAGATCAATATATTCATTCAACGTCACAAGCAATTCTATTGACCATTGTGTTGAGTGAAACAGCTTACTATGTCAAAAATCAACAATATCCAATAGCTAAACGAGCAGAGATTGTATTTCATAATTTTCTATTCACTATAGTTTGTCTGGAAATATTTGGGCTGGTATTCGTATTGTACAAATTAACCATACAACCAATTTATCGTTTACTCCGTCGGACAGTGATTCGTCACCATGAAAAAAATCAAACCAATCCCGAAAAGATGAATGGCGACTCAATAGCATTGGACAATCTGTCTAATATCAGTAGTGTTAATGGACAGAATTTAGCACATGTTGACTCGAGCTCGAGCATTCAGCTAAATTGAAATTAATAATAATGTCAAAAGTTGTGTCTAAATGGTTTTTTACGTGCTATAAATACTGTGTGTGTACCATTGAGCATAACAACCCTAAAACAGAACGTTTCACTCCTAGATTTTTAATGATCATGATATGAATAAAAATAATATCCATTCGCAAATAGTTCAAAACTAATGTCTGTTTAAAAAATAATTGGCGTAGATGTTTTGCAATAACTCAGGAACAGAAAGAACTAGGGAGCTCCGATTTTCACCAATTGAAAGAGAAAATGGAGCATCTTTTTTTCTCAATATTCTATAAGATAAAATCAACCATTTTTATAAAACATTGAAAAAATATGCAAAAATAATCTGTCATTCAGATGAAATCTTGACGAGCAGTAAGTAAATTAACTTCAAAATTACCATAAATTCATATTTTTCGACGGACTGTATAGGCAATTTTATTGACTTAAAATTAAGATGTGTGAAGGTAATGATGCAAATGGTATCTTAAACTAGAGATTTGAAACTCTCCATCTAAATCACATATGAAAACCAAAATTTTCTCGGAATGGTAGATCGTTTTCATGTATTTTTTATGATATTTTGTAGAAATGATTTCGACTTATATAATATTGAAGAAAAAGATATCCCAATGTCTCCTCTTTTGACTGACAAAAAACTGCAACCCTTTAACACTTTCCGTTCTTGAGTTCTTGTAAAAAAATTTGTGTTCACTATTTTTTTTAAACAAGCATCAGTTCTTTCGAATCTGCAAGAGGATAAATGCTTCTGAGAAAAAAATTCCCTGTAGTTTTCCATTTTCGAAAATTATTGAGGATTGCCGATCTCTGATGGAAGTTTTTTGTTTTATTCAAAGCACTTGTCATCTATAAGTTTTATTATTCTAAGATTCGAATGACTTTGATGGATATGAAAATGTAGATCGCTGTTCTTTTTGACACTGTCTACGAATCACATATGTACGGCCATATACCTCTGCTCTACCTACACCGAACTAATTGTTGCATCTTTATGGTTACCTATTTGTTCATTTCTTATTCCTAGCATGTCTAGGGCTGTTATCGATTACTACAATTATTCGAATAAAAAAAACAACATTACTTTAACTTTTTTATATAATTCAAGTGATTTATCAAACTTTGATGGGTGTGGGTGGATGTGGGTGTGGGTGTGAGTGTGGGGTGTGGGTGGGTATGGGTGTGGGTGCGGGTGTGGTTGAGTGTGGGTGTGGGTGTGGGTGTAAGTATGACTTCAGACAAAAACAAACTCTAGCTCACACCCCTATTCACACTCACACCCACACCCACACCCACACCCCACACCCACACCCCACACCCACACCCACACCTACACCCAGCCACTCACACCCACACCCATACTCACACCCACCCACACCCACACCCACACCCTTACTTCGATTGGAACATGTGGATCATTACGTGATTTAAACCTATCATGTTGCCATTTACATCGACTAATGTAAAAGAAAAAAAACATAAATAAATAAATAAAACTTGCGATTTATGCTTACCGACTTTGAAACCAAATCTAAACAAAGAAAACAAATAGATTAACATAAAAAACAAGATTTTATTACTTTAATTTGTCGTTCAGTTAATGCAAGTCTACGAGCAATTTGAATTCGTCGCGAAGGTGTTAAATATCTATTAATATTTGTAAATAAATAAAAGAATTTTTTTTTTCTTACTTGTTAGAATGAAATTCTTTTTCTAATTCAAGTATTTGATAATATGTATAAGCTGCTCGAACACATCTATGTTCAGAATTAAATTCCATAAAGAAAAAAGAAAGAATGACTTCATAGTAATCATAAATAAATAAAGTAATGGTACAAATATTAATCATTTCTATATGTTACATTTATGTATTTTCAATACATCATTTTTCTCAATCAGCTTATGAATACCTAGTCTCATCCATGCATATTCATTATTAAGGGTGCGGGTGTGGGGTGTAGGTGTGTGGGTGTGGGATGTGTGAGTGTAGGTGTGAGTATAGGTATATGGATTGTTTCCTTCCATACCCACACTCACCCACACCCACATTCATACCCTCAAGTTCAAACGGATTCAAATCAATGTGATTAACAAATAACAATTGGCACTAGCATTGATTCACATTAAATGAGTTAACCCCCCCCCCCCCCCCCCACACAGAATAGAAGCCCACCCTACCCAAAATGAGCACAAAATAGACAAGTTGCCAAATTGGATAAATTAGGTCACTGACTCTTACTATTTAATTGTAGCTGAGTTAATGTGCCTAATTTTCTTTGTGTTGCATATTTTTTTTATCCGCAGACAAATGAACATTTTTCAAGTATTAAAAAATTTGTACGCCTATGTATCAATAAAACATAGCTGTCTAGGGACCATTCAATAGAAATTACCCATGCAATAATACCGTTCTGTTAGGTTTCTTCCTCTTATACAATTATGTACGACATAGAAACGAAATGTTGGAGTTTTTTATTGACTTAGCAGCAGTACGAACAAATCTTTGATCGAAAGATGAGACGTCGAAGAAAACTGACCTTGACCGATACGAATTACGCAAGAACTTATCAGACTTAAAAACAAATACCATCGTGGGATGACACAATATCAATTATTATAACATGTATTAGATCTGAATTATCTTTCTGTCAAGAAATGGGAAACCCTTATTATGTAATCACAGGTTTATTTCATATTTCTATCGCAATAATTAAAATATATCTTGATTTGTATTTGAACCGTGCATCGGCTGCCATGATGAAGTCGTGTGCGAGAAACTATATCAGTATAGGTCTAATAGAAACCTCTTTTAAATTCCTTCAAAACTTTACATGATCAAAATCAATATATGATGTTAAACGGGGTTTTTCGTATCCGTAGTAAGATCCACGAAATGCTCAGGATAGATGAGTGTGTGAATGCGAAACGTCGTATAAATAACGTACTACTCTATCGTTTTAATAATATACAATCCAACAAAAATTGGCAACCAGTTTTCGGTTCCCAAGAAGCTATAATAGCTACTGTGAAAATTGTCAGACAACTTCATAATTTCAATTTGTAATTTTGTGGAACTCACATATTTTCGAAGAAAACGGTGAGTGTAATTTTTAAGTCGAAGTTTTTATGACTCCCCATTATAGACATCCGCATCACAGTCCCTCCTCTATTACAGGTAGGCGCTATATAATAAATGGTTTGCAATCGTTATACTTCATCTAAAGCTTCGCTGCAAATGTATATCTATAAAACTACAGCAATAACATTTAAAAAAATTTACAGTAAAATAGTTTCTAGTATTTATGGATATGTGAGTTTCACACTCTAGCCCCAAAGGGACTGCACTGGAAAGCTTTTTAAGACCTTATGTGCCTGTAAACTAATTAAATCCTCGCTGCAACGTGAAAAAAGTTGATCGCAATAGAAGCCCAGTGGGCTTCTATTCTGTGGGGGGATTTAAGTCAAAGGCCTTGTACACACTACGCGAATTAAAGCTGAATTAAGAAATGTGATTGGTGTTTCCATGTGATAGCACCAATCACATTTCTTAATTCAACTTTAATTCGTGTAGTGTGTACAAGGCCAAACGAATAAATGTTCAATACAGATGAGATATCATCTATCGATGATTAAAAGTTCGTCACTACTATTAATATTTTAAAATCGTTCGATTTAAGGAGATGTGTTTGAACATAAAGCTACAAAAATTCTTTTTGTCGATCAAAAAAACGAATAGCGAATCGAATGTTCACAATAATTTCTTTATTTTCATCTTGTGAGTCATAATTGCTTTGTTTCTTTCTATTATAGATAAAGATAAAACACGTATTACCCTCCTCTCTCCCTTCTCAAAAAAAAGAAATTTAATTCATTCAATGATCAGCGATATACAAAACGTTACGAAATTTGAACTCTTATCAAACGAAATTTTATTTGTATGTTTCGAATATTTTAATATATTTGAGATATTTTATTCATTTGATCAATTAAATGATCGCTTTTCTACACTTATTCGAAATATTTCATTTCAACTCAACTGTCAAAATATACAAAAAACAATATTTGATAAATTTTGTGTAAAAATGAAATTAAATTCAGAAATTAAAAATCAAATTTATTCATTAAAATTATCAAATAAAGATACATATGGTCAAATCGACGCATTTTTATCAATGTTTTCATTCAACGAATTTTCTCATCTTCGATCATTAACATTATCTGAAGTTGAAAAGCAAAATATAGTAAAATTGAAATCGATATTACCATTATTATCTCAATTATCCTCCTTTCATATGATTGGTCATATGTTTGAAGACAGTGGAATCCTAGATAATCTTCCAATGTCTAATCTAAAAATATTATCAATACTATCATTACATTCTATTCAAACATGCCTTAGCGATACTTCAAATATTACAAATTTAACAATTTATACTTGTTCATTAGAACATTTATTATATGATTTATTCAAATGTTTTCCTATGCTAAAATATCTAAATGTTCAATGTATCTCGCGATATAATCATCCAATAAAAAATGATTCAATTATTAATAAATATAATGGTATTTATCTAAAACAATTGATTATTGGTATATTTGAATATAACTTTAAAGATTTTAAAATATTTGTAAAACAAATACCTAATCTAATAAGTTTAACAATAAATACAAAATATGATATAAATATGATAAATTCTTATAAATGGAAAAAATTAATTCAATCTTCATTACCTTATTTAAATATTTTCAAATTTAAATTTCGTTGTGATTGTAGATTTAATAATAAAATTATTTTGAAAAAATTTATACATTTTCAAAATGATTTTTGGTTGAAACAACATCAATGGTATACTGAATATTCATTTGAAAAAAATTTTGCATTTATTTATACAATACCTTATATATCGAATACTTTTGAATTAGGACCGAATACTAAAAGATTTCCTAATAAATTAACAAATAATTCAAATATATTCGATGAAGTGACCGATCTAACATTACATAATGAAGTCAAAAAAGATCAAAATCAATATTATTTTTCAAACGTTGAATCATTAACATTACGTATTTGGGAAGAGAATCAGAATCAAATTAATATTTATTATTTGAAATTTATTGTTAATTTATCTAATTTAAAACATTTAAACATATATCTGTATCACAAAATGCTATCATCAAAAGAATTATTAAAAATTCTAAAAGAATCACCAAAATTATCATGGATTACGATTTGTCCAAATAATTTAAAATCTTTATTTATTGATGATGAATTATGTAAATATTTGAATGCAATGATTAAAAAATTAAATATATATCCATATACTTATTCTTCATTCATTAATCTTGATGAATTGAAAAGATTTTGTGAAATCTTTTCAAATATTGAACAACTTACATGTTTTGTTAGGGTACCTAATGATGTGTTATTTTTATTAAATCAATTATCAAAATTATCAACTATAAATGTTTATTTCCCACCATTAGGTTATCGTGATTATTTTTCTATTTTATTTGAAGAACAATCACATAGACTAAACTTTATATTTCGTGTCAAAGGTATTGATGTAAACGTACCAGAATTATCTATATGGATTGATAGAAATATGAATTAATCAGATATTAACTTTCTTAAAAATGTTTTTTTTTCTCGATAAAAAATAAAATCAATGTTTTCTATTGTTCAAAAGATTCTCTACATGTCGGAATTACTTTTGCAGTGAATATTGATCCAAAATAAAAAGTTGTCCTGGATATAAATATTTAAAAATTAGTTTTTTTTTTCACGTAGTATTATCATTTTTACAGACAAACATTTTCGAATATTAATTTTCAATTATAAAAGTCTGTTTATCTAACAATCGAGAGTTTGGTGTTGTAAGGGTATGTCGTGTACGTGAAGAAATGATCCGCACCCAGACCTTCGAGGGTGTGGTAGGGGTGGACCATTTAATTTAACGGGACTTAATTAACGACATTACTTAATGTTTTTTATTAAGGGTGTGGGTGTGGGTGGGGTGGGTGTGGGGGGGGGTGG